ATGAAGCTTGAAGGTATAAAAACACTAGAAACATAGTATATCAATCTTTGGAGGGCGTTGCTCGAAGCGAGAAAAACAATGCACTGAAAATTGTTCGGCGAACATTTTTGACCGCTACTGTAGATTACATTTGACATGATCGAGGTTGAAACGCGAAGGGGTCTAGGGGGGCACTCGAAGGTTCCCTCGGTAAAAGAGGAGAAACTCACTTGACGGTGGAATAAATGCAGCAGAAGCAGTGGCGAAAACAAAGGCAGCAACGACGTTGAACCTCTAAAATGACAGAGTATTTTGCATATTTCCGAAAAAGAAAAGTCCCAAAGCGAAAAGCCGTAGTACAAAACATTACCATGATTGCGTGGGGCACAAAACGTCACACTGTGCCAAGCCTTTTGTAGCAAGCGATAAAGTAATCGAAGAAAAAGAATGACTTCGAAGATAACGGAAATGCCAGCTGGCGCAGCCAGCTCCCATCGGCTCCCTTCCAGAAAATAGTTTTTGGCCCCTGATTTTGAAGGATGTGATGTCGTGGCGATTGATGCTTCCTAGAAATTTGCTACGATTCTCCTACAACGAGTACGCGGAAATATACAGCAGAATTGTAAATGAGTTAAGTGTCAAGTTTTTCTAAAGTTCTTCCCGATATCCATATAGGATATGACAAAGGTATGTGGAAACCCAAAAATTTTCCTTCTATGAGAAATTTAGGACTTGTCCACCACGATACCGCTATCATTCATTTTTCTGTCTGCGAAAACCTCAGAATCCTCCAATGATCACAATTTACTGTGCTGTTCGAGGCTCGTGTTTTCGTTGCTTCGAGGCTAACAGCAACAGCTTCTTCATGGTGATGCTGTTAATATTCCTGATGTACACAACCTACCGTCGCTATTATGGATCAGAGTTTACGCGTTTTATCCTCCCAGGTTGCCTCCAGTGTCAGTTCTCGAGCTCTCATCTTACACTACACGTATTAAGCTCTTGGCTCGTTGTCGCTAATTGGCAATGCCCAATGTCACGGTTCTCGAAAAAGAGTAGATATTGATGTTGTTATCCTCAACTATTTTTCACCTTGTTGCTGAGAATAATAGTTTTTGAAGTTGGACTATTTTATACACTATCCTGAAGTGTTTGACGGCATGTCTGTTTGACGTTTTTAACTGTAAACAATTTTTCCATTTTGGTGGGAAAACTTTTGTTTGCAACAAAGGTATGTACAGGTGCTTCATAGGCATCATAGATAAAACTTGTTAACTAAGGGATGACCAAAGATATACCGGCAACCCTACAAGCCAGGGTAGTAGCTTACATGATAGGTAATAAGCCTGCGACTGTCTACCGGCGCAAATTGTCGCGTTTAATAGCATTCACCGTAATCACATAAAGGCAAAGGTCGGGCTCAGGCACGCTAGAGAAGTAATTCCCGTGCCTGGAGGTTGTATGTGGGTAGCTGCACACATTGCAGCAACTTCCCACCTTGAAAAAACCTATTCAAAAAAACCTATTTAAAAAAAACCTTAACAAACAAAACAAGTTAAAAAAAAACCCCGTTAAGGCCCCGGGGCGTTCGGTTTCAATCCAGGGCCGCCTGGTCAATCCAGGACCGCCCACCTCCGGAAGTGGTGCGTGGCTGGCATAACGTGTGAAATCAGCTAGGTTGATTGCCGTATCAACCGATAGAACGACTGACATCTCCAGAAAACTTGTTTGTACGTGCCTCTTTCCCCAAGCCAGCCTCCTTCACTGCTAGTGGGAAAGAGGGTTTTGTTAACGGCCTTGTCGACGGTTTTTCTCAGTTTTTTCTCCACTGTCGTTCCACTTCGCATCTCTATACTCAGTTTCAATCGCCATAATACCCCCTTATTGAGCCCGACTTTTGCCTTTAAAGTAATCAGTTTGCATTTTTACACATAGTAAAACCGAAAATATTGAATTTTATGAATGTCAAATTTTTTTGACAATCATAAAATTGAGCATTCTTTGAGCTTTTGGGATTGTTATTGCTACCAATTGCACTACCGGGGCACCATTTCATCTCCAACTCAGCTTCAATGTATAATTACCATGGCCCATGAGCACTCACACGTCTAACGTGTGAGCCGGTTAGCCGATATCAGGCAGTGAACCGCGAGGCTGAAAGCTCTAGCAGATTTAATTTTGACGTGTATTGCCCATATTTCAGCATTCTTGTAAAACATGCGCAGACTGAGTTTGAGAAGCAGTGGCAGAGTATTCAGCTGCCATATATGCATAAGATTTGTGGGTTTGTTTTTGTTTGTTTGTGTTGAGTATCCAGCTCCTTGGGCTTCAATTACTCTTTTTTGCGAACGCTCTGAAGATATGAAGAGTTTTCGAAGCACTGACGTCGATTCCAGTCTTATGAGTTCAAAGTTGCCTCAGATTCATTCTCATTATTACAAAAATACTGCCTCGCAATAACTCTGACTATTTGAGCATAATTTTGGAGCTGTTCTGGATCTGAGGAGAAAAAATTGATTGATGTAACCTCGCGTTGTGGCAACCTGGCCCCGCGGGCGTTGGTGCCTGCGACGATATCAGTGAAAGATTTTCTAGTCTCCAAGTTTCCTCACTGAAAAAATAGAAGCTCTTTCATTTCCTCTTACGTCGGATTAGAATTCATATTGGGGGCAATAGAGGACGCAAATGAATCGCTGATCTGAGTATTGGCCGATGCCGGGACATTGCGTAGCCTGAACGGTCCATTCGAGTGCTTCAGTGATTTCAGGAGGGTCAACCGTTTGTTTTTCCAAAAATTTGACGACCCCTCTTTTAGTGAGGGAAGGTGTCTCGACACGACACCTCACCAGCTCAGCTTTTCAATCCAAAGGCCGTGGGGTGAGGAGGAGGGGGAGAAAAATATATATAATAAAACTACCGACCGTCAAATTTACACCACTTCCACTGTGTTTACTTTTTTTAAATGCAATTCCCACCAAAATTATTGAAAAATGGTCCAGAAGGGACCCCCCTCTCATCCACCACAATAGATCCAACTCCCAAAATACGACTTCCTTTTACAACCTTTTGACCTTCACCAACCCCTCAAACGACCCCCTTCCTCCTCCCGAAAAAGTCAAACGCGTTCAGAACTGCGCAACGCACGGTTGACCCTGGTTTCAAGTGGACTCTTAATGTACGATGTGGGCCTAGTGTGTGAGTACGACTTCTAACCTTTTACGTGACTCGGTTAACACCACAATAAATTATATAATGCTTCATTTATATCTATACAAGACGGCCAGAAGCCACTGCTTAGAGCTTGGGCTCTCCAGCAACGACGCCTGATTCAATGCCGCATTCGTCGAGACCGCGAATGATTCGGAAGAAACCTGAATAAGAACTTAGTAAAAAATTCATCCGGAGGAAATCGATGTAATGCTATAATAAAAGAAAAGCAAGCGAACCGTTCTCTCCCCAATCGGAATTCCATGAGTTGGAGCAAATCCAGTATGGGGTACCGTTCTCCGTTCCCCAGCCGATCATTTTCACAGCATGTCCTCCAAGAAGGGAGCCGGCTGTGTGCTGTAAATATAAATTAAGCGACGTACGTGGATGGTGTAGTAGGTAATGGCGCCGCTTGCTGCATGCATGGTCTAGAGAGGAATCGCTGATCATATCTCACCGAGGCCAATCGGCTCTTCCTTCCGGTTTAGCTAGCCATTAACGGAACGGGAGGGCAGAGTGACTGCTGTTTACGAAAGCGCCTCCTCAAAGACGTGCCCCAGGCTCAAACGGATTTGGATTGCACACGCATATGAAGGTATTGGTGCCAAATAGACCGGTAGTGAAGAAAATAGGATAATAATTCTTCAAACGCTCAAATCAAGGTCTTGCTGGGGTTAGGAAAAGGACAGAGCTAATGCAATGAGAGACTTCTCGCGAAGAGGTGAGTATGGGACGAGAGAGCAGACAACAGCCCACTAAGGACGAGTAACATTGAAGCTATTGCTGACTTAACAACGTCCCATCGCCTTTGCCGGGCGAATTCATGTGGGAGTACGCATATTTGACTGTCCATCACGGGTCTATCTTACACACCGAGGAAACCTTTGATACCACATCTGCCTGGACTGAGCCCTTGAGTCATTTCTTGCATCAGCACAGGTCAAGGACTTCAAAGTTCCACGAGCATGCGTGGAAGAATTAATTGGTAATTATTTTCAGAATGCGCAGCGCGTGTTAGAATAGGGCTGTGTGTTGAGCTATCACCTGTCTTCTTTACGAAAGTATCGAATTCTTGTCTTACTCTTTTAGTGTGAGGCATCAGGTATGGATTTTTGTAGCAAAGCTACTTTTTGATCAGTCATTTGGGAAGGTCCTATACGGTTCTTAAGACTGTTATATTTTTTGTGGGAATTCATGGATTTCCTCTGCCTGTTCCAACAATGCCTGAGGTTGTTGAATCCGGGCACTCCCTGATCTGTGAGTCTCGAAACTCTTGTGAAAATTTCTTACGAACCACATAAATTCCACCGGTGTAGTGTTCGAAGTCCTCGTAGACATTGTAAGAGACCTCGACGGGACCATTGGTCATGATTTCCTTCTGGATATCAGTAACCTTCTTCGACACGGCGTACGGCTGTCGCTCCTTAAAATTCATCTCTTATCAATCTGCAACATACGGCAAGTGGCACCAAATCACGCTGTATGGCCACTGATTACGCATGACGTACGTGACTGTCGCTATCACTGAGCCTTGTGATTATGCTTTCTTTACCGTTTACTGCGGTGAACCGGAAACGATCTCGATCTTTTTACCAAGCACTCACCGAAATGTTTGTCATCGGTGTAGCTTGTGGAGTAGCCGGTTTGGCAACTGTGCTCACATGTGTTCGTGGGTACGATGTCGGACGGGCACGGCTAAAAGCTGTCTGTCAAGGTTCTGAATTGTTCAAGTAGACAACTTTAGCTTGCCTTGAAATGAGTAGCGTTGTTGTGGTGCTCGCATGGTGGGAAGGGATACGGTTTGCAGCCAGCCTAAAAAGTAGGGTTCTGAGTTGAAGCAGCATCTTTTTCAGAATGGTTCCTATACCTTTGAAGTGTAGTTGCCTCCGGTGACAACACCGTGTTTCACCCAGAACTTCCACGCCTGAAGTGGGTAGCCTCCCTCGCATCTGAAGACAGATTAACCATTACCACAGCGCAGGGTGAGGCACCCAGTTGCTTTAACTTACCCATTACCACAGATAAGTCCACAGCACGACAGAATGTCGTCCGCAGAGATGGTGAACTGTTCCTTGCCATTTGAAGCAATGCAGATACGATCAGTCATCGCTTCAGCTGCTCCGAACGCCCAGCATGAACCTGAAGTTTGGAGGAGTAGACGAACAAATTTGGATGAAGCAACGAACTCGATTGATCCAATTCTTTGGGATGAGCTGCGGATCTGCCCGCGCTAGGAAGCGCCGTATCACTTCCATGCGCTGGCTTTTGTGGACCAAATTGTGATTGAAACAGTACCTCTGGTTGAACTACTATACTATGCAGTCATAATTACAAAATTTCTGCTCCTTCAAACCAGCTTATAGCTATGCGTCGAATTCTCGAGAAACAATGTGCTATGCTTACCCGTAGAGTCTAATTTTCCTACTTCAATTACGCTATATTCTCTTATCTCCGAGGCACCGTTGCCCTCACATCATCGCGTATTCTCTGAATGTTGGATGGAACGGTAGGATTGGGGAAATGGGAGCGTTGAAGTCCTTTCTCCCTCTACCAAACTGAAATGATAAGAAAGTAGCCACGACTCTCTTAACGTCGTCACTGGCAATGAGTGATATGGCCCTAAGACGGGGAGCTATATTCTGTGATTTTGGCAGGTGATCGTGTTCCGATATTTTAGATCGTAGTCAAGTATTCGAAAACGAGTTCCGTTCTCTCCACACACTTTCAGAGTTTTGGTAGACGGTGTAGGATTTACCAAATGAGTACGAGGTTAACGACATATCGACACCATTCAAGGGCAATGGTTGGGTGGAGTGGATGTCCTAAGTATACCTAAAATTGAGCGGCTGCCATGACCCTGTTTTCTAGTTATGCGATCCCCTTTTCCGATGCGCTGCTCAGATTTAATGCCCTTCAGAGGATCCGCTTCAAATAACCTCAATAAAACGACTGCTTAACTCTCCACCATACAAGCAGCGTCCGCTCCAGTTCGTATTTAAAAAGCCCGATAAATTCTGAGGGGTTTTCTTTCAAACAGGTCGGCACTTACCACATGACGATTGGTCGCGAATCGAGAGGATCGACGGGCACTGAGGCCACTGTTTTCGGGAATCGAACGAATCGGGGATGGAAGCATCTTCGATATCGTCATGGGTCTTTTCGTTCACCTGCAAACCGATAGCTTCTTTACAGTTCCACACGCAAATACAAGAGGAGTAAAAAATGAGCGTCCAACACTTCAAAGGTAGTGCCGAGTTTTCTAAAGTGTTCAAAAAATTTATGATACCCGAAAACAACCCAATTCAAAAACAATTGAACGAAATTTTGTGATCCCACCGGCCTGGGGCTTTCCTATCTCGTTTCGCTACCTCACGAACATCATCACATTTTGTTCTGTTTTCTTATATTTAGTCCCCCCTGCTTTATTTAGCCCTAAGTTAGCTCAGAGTCGCACTTTTTTCCATGTGACTATGACGCTTGCAATAAATAAAGAAGTCCCTTCATAAATACACTATCGGTGACTCACTCTGAATTCCTCAGGCACAGCGACGTGCTTCGATCCCATGAGACGTTTCTTGATGTCATCAGGATACTGCGCGAAACGGGGAGACAGCTTGGCCTACACTCATGAAAACCTTACTGAGCGGGTTGGTTACAACATTTGTGGTGATTATTTACATATAAAGCAAACAAACCGTAAACAAGTTCTGAGCCTTGTTAACATATTCGATCAATTCGAGACCGGTCAGCTGCTCAGCTTCTCGGAGAACCCTCTCTGGAAAGAACCGACTTCAATATATGAGCAATACTCAGGGTGGAACTGTAAGAATAGTGGAGCTTCCTCGATCAACGTTTATTTGGTAGGAAAAGTTTTACTTTAAGTGAAACGATAGATAGACCGCTCACTTATTAGTGGAGTTATTTGGACTACAATTTGTGGTTGACATAACCGAGGTTGAAATACATGAAGGTATTCAGGGAGGCAGGCTCCCTCGGTGAAAGAGGAGAAACTCACTTGACGGTGGGATAAAGGCAGCAGAAGCAGTGGCGAATATCAAGGCAGCGACGACGACGAACCTCTAAAATGACAGAGTATTTAGTATTTCCAGAGAGTAAAGCTTGCAAAGCGAAAAATCGTAGATCTCAAAACATTACCATGATTGCGTGCGGCACAAAGGCGTCACACTGCGCCAAGCCTTTTGTAGCCAGCGATAAAGTAATCGCTTCGAAGATAACGGAAATGCCAGCTGGCGCAGCCAGCTCCCATCGGCTCCTTTTCCAGAAAAGTGGTTTTTGGCCCCTAATTTTGAAGGAGGCGATTGGTAACGATTGATACTTCCTTGAAATTTGCTCTGACTTCTTCTCGTACATTAGATGTGTCGAACTGTACAGCAGACCGTAAATGAGTTGACGTCAATTTTTTTAAATTCTATCACTTATAAATACAGCGCATAATAAAATTTGTCAATTTTATCATGCATATATACAGCGCATAGCAGGAGCATGTGAGCACCCGAAATTCCCCCTTCTATGAGGAGATTAAGGGCGGAAGTGGTGTAGTGACAAGTGGCGCGCTTACCACGCGAGCGGTCCGGGATCAAATCCTGGGTCGTGAGTCGCCCGGGCCAACCAAGCCTTCCATCCCTCCGGGGTCGGTTAATTGGTACCAGACTTGTCTGGGAGGATAAAAACACTGACTTGTACATCGGCTGGCCCCCGCAAGTCATTGTATAGGCCACATCGCATTCAAACGCCACTGCGAATGTACAAATGGAAGTAGAATGCGTGCCGCATCCCAAAAAAGGGATTGATCAACGGCAAATGCTTTATCCTTTATCCTTTTTTATGAGGAATTTATGACTTCTTCACCCCGAGACCGCTACTATCCAATTTCTGTATGCGAGGACCTCGGAATCCTCTGATGATCACAATTTACTGTCCTGTTGGAGGCTTGTGCTTTCTTGCTTCTCGACGCTAACAGCAACGGTGTCTTAAGGTGATGCTACTAATATTTCTGGTGTGGGCAATCTGCCGTCGCTATTATGGATCAGGAGTTGCAATCCCCCAATGCTCTCAGGTTCTCCATAAGTGATCAGTCTCTGGCTCTTGTTGCACTGCTCGAAGTGACCTCTTGGATCGCTGTCGCATAGGAATGCTTTTGGTGATTTCTCAATTAGAAGGGTCTTTCAGGTCTTTCAGCGCGAATGTGGGTAGTTGGTAAAGGAAATCTTGAGACAGTACGGGCTTCTCTTCCGTTGCCTGGGGGTTGGCAAAGATCGAGAATGACCCCCAATCAGTGTCGAGAGGTTAGAACGACGATTCTGCTGCCTTTTCCAACACACGAGTGCGCAAGACCGGGATAACTTTCGATTCCCCGAATAAAGGGTCCAGCAACACGACGAGCCCTAACCTGTGCTTGTTCTTCCTTTAAAAATATGCTTGCCGTGAAGCATGATAGCGAAAGGAGCAAAGAAATAAAATGTGAAAATAAATCAGGATTCTGCTAAAACTTGATCTACCTTGGGGGCCACATATTTTTATAACAACAAAAAAATCATATAAAAGGTTGCCCAAACTATATACTCATCAACAATGAAATCATTGTTGAAATTAATATAGTATGTCGACCACAAGGAGTCGACTTGATGCAGGTTTCCATGCAGAAAAATCAGCAGATTGAATCCTAAAAACTATTTTCATGGTGTCCACTTATTTTGCTAAGCAGTGAAGACACTTATAGTATAGAGGACGCAGTTCAGTACACAAGAGAAAAGATGCTATATCACCCGGCGGTGATCATTTCCATTTTCGGATGCGCCACGTGTGCCACTTGTTGCCAAGATCGTGACAGCATTCGGATGCCATTATTGTTAGCCGATGTTGAAGCCAGAGTTTTATGATCCCACACGCCTCTATGGGCAGATTCAACTTTTTGTAAAACACCATTTCGAAACCTGAATTTTTGCGCGTGGAACAACTTTTTCATCTCTTGCTATTGTTTATTACTCGTGCGCACACAAATATTATAACTGAATTTGGAAGCTGTTTGATAACAAACTAGAAACTAAGAAGCGTTTAAAAAGTGGCACAGCTTATTAGTTTTTTCAGCTTATGTCGAAACTATCCAAATTTCTTAGATATGTTGAAAAAATTTGTGGTTTGCACACATATACTACCGGTTTAATAGAAATTCATGTATGTCAAGTATTACAGAAATGATGGCCATTAGTTAGCAAGTTGCTGAGACCATTCACCTGGTACACTTGTACACAAATATTTGTAAATGCTAACAGCAACTCACAGTGAAATAGCAGGCTCAAAGCACAATAAGAAGGGGAAGGTCGTCTGTGACGCTCTCTACAGTGGGTAGTAGAAATATGCTGCTGCACCGGTGATGCAGATTGAATTTGGATTTGATAGGTGGCAGTTGGCACCGCCAGGTGTGAAAGGGTTAAGCAAGGGAGGATGATGAGGCCCTGGCATGGTGGGGCGGTATTTGATCAATGGATTCTACTTACGAATTGTTTTCGTTGTAAATGTCGTCACTTACGCTAAATCATGGCAATTCAAGAAAATGATGTGATGGAAGTGGTGTTTGTGGGCATGTCCTTTTTGAATGGTAAAACAAGCGCAAAACAGCGAAATTCGTTTTACACATGGCGCGTTACTAAAATTTATATCGCATATAGCGACTCATGAAGTGAGTAGCCCTCCATCTCCCGCTCGAGTCCCTTTTCCAGGGTCCACAGAATCACGAAACAAGGCTGGAGGAACAAAGCCCCCGCAAGAAATTGTCGCATCAAAAAGAGTCGATGGTGGAACGTTAGAGATCGCGTCAAACATCGGTGACGCTCTTCCGTTTTTTGCCCGTGGCTCGCCGAAGAATCTAGACAGCTGCTGTATTAGATGAGGCCACATTCATATGTGAGCTCGTTATAGACCGTGGACGACTCGTTCTGATGAGAATGAGGGAGGTACAGGTACCTTCTTCCCAGATGTTAAACACAGCATCCGAACACTCAATGATTGAGAGAAAACCAGTAAACCTCCATATTCCGAGGTTGAATGAACAATGACTGCAAGAATCGCTCTCTGAGTGATCGCATTTTTTGCTGGATTATGCGGCTGTTTTGGAATGCCGCGTTAATTTTCAAACGGGCCCGATCTCATAAAGGGAATTTGAAGAGATCACATTTGTTGGTAGGGGAAGAGACTGCTGCACTAGTATCAAGGCCAAAATTTTTTGATTAAGCGCAGGACACTGATGTTCCCTCACAATCCAACGTGGCTATCCGCTTTGTCGGCTGCCTGATCCAGGGCTCGTAAAATTACTCAATACTGTTCAATGGGCTAACCTAGCCGACTGTAGGCCCGTCGCGCGGCAAAAGGCAGAGTCAGCGGACGAGTGCAGCGCGTGATGTGCGGTGAAGGGCGACAATGGTGCATTCTTCCAACCGAAGGCGAAATCGCTGCACCACACGCTGCGACTCATCCGCTAATTCTGCCTCATTGCCGTGCAATGGGCATCCTGTCGGATACTCCTGTTCGATGTGATTGACACGATGCCGACACATGCCTACGGTTAGGATAAATATAGGATATTTCCGTATCTTATCAAAACTAAGCTAAGCGTATGCATATTTCTTTTGAAATGCCGGTACTAGTAGTATTAAATGGTAAGAATAAAGTTATTTAATGAGAGCTTCTACGGCATAGCAAGCTCACAGGGTGCTCTATTACACATTTCCTCTCTTTCCCGAATAATGGATTGTCCACAAAGTCCTGGGACACTTTGAACAAATTTCTTCAGATAAAAATCAAAAGCTTTTTCAGTTGTTCTGGCGCTTGATTATTGTAGTGTATGACGGAGGTTTCAATGAAAGGCCTTTAAAAGTTTCACGCAACGTTTTACAGCTTCAAATTCCTCTTTGAATCAAATCAAACCAATCGCTGATGTTGCGAACGGTTTCCTCGCTCCACCATCGCGACGCCTTTCATTGAACGATGGCTCAAAGGTGATCTGGGTGCTCTAGGTGCTCCTGTGGAATTGACATCGTGAATGATGTTGAAAGGCAACTCGACTCTATGCTATGTAAAGGGGAGGGGAGAAGTCGCTCAACCTCTTCATTTAAAACGGAATATCCACAGGTTGCTGAATTCAAACCGAAAGCGCCCAACTGCATATCGAAATGCACATTCCATTCTATCAGAGAGCTTCTGTGTAGCCTTTTACAACGACGGCATCAGAAGATTTTCTTGCGGGAACGTGGTGCGCTGTTCGAACTCAACGAGGTCCCGTCTGATCATGAGCCATTACGACGTTATTTGAAAAGCTGATCGGAAGGAATCTTGCATAAACAGAACTAGTGTCCCTAGAAAGCTGCCCGTAAGTGAAACGATTGAGCACTACGCAGTAGCTTCAGGCTGGAGCGATAACGATAGGCTTTCTTTGAGCTAGACTGTGATGGCAGATGGCGTTCTGAAGAGTTTAGAGCAGTGAAGTAGGGCCTGCTTCTGCATATGAGGAGACCTCCAAGGTATATTTTGCCGTAATGAACAGCGCTTCGCAAGACGCGATGAAAATTAGTGATGCATGATGCCACGGGCAAAATTCTCTCCCCCCCCCCCTGCATATACACCTATCACGGAGATGTTTCGACAGTAGTTTACATCTAAAGCATGTTGTATCATGGGTAGCATCAATACTGTAAGTTCTGGAACTTTCAGAACAACAGGCTCGAGACTTTCTTGCAGTCCTAATGATTCAGTGTTCTCAGCATTTCCTAATAAATGTTGTTTCATTTATTAAATCAAAGACATCATTTTTATTTGTACAAGACAGCCAAGAGACTGTTATTAAAGCTTAGGCTCTCCGGCGAACGACGCCTGATTCAATGCCGCATTCGTCGAGGCCGCGAATGATCCGGAAGAAACCTGAGTGAGAGTTTGGTAGAACCTCAACCGTAGAAATCATTTTGGAAAGTCTCAATAAAAGAAGAAGCAAACCGTTCTCTCCCCAATCGGAATTCCATGAGTTGGAGCAGATCCAGTATGGGGTACCGTTCTCCGTTCCCCAGCCGATCATTTTTACAGCATGTCCTCCACGCAGTGCGCCAGCTGTGTGCTGCAAAAGATTTTTTTGGTTAATGGATGAAGGAATCTAGAATATTCCATCCACAGTGGAGGGCCCTGAACAAGAATCACGAAAGGCAGCTTACAGGCTGTCATGCAAACTGCCTCTGTCCAGCCGAATAGAGGGAACAGTGGCGCGGCAGATGGTATGTGAGGCATTACTAAAAAAAGCACAGATCCAGCCAAATGGCAATGCAAGACGACACGAGGAGCCCAAAGAATGTGAGACGTAATCAAGAAGAATATCACCAATATGAGGCATGCCAATCGTAGAACTACCTTATACAGACAAAAGTGGGTGACGATGAACAAGGCAGCGGACCCTGTGGCTGTGCCGACAACGCCCAATAGAAGAGGAGCGAATATAAGGAAGACAAGAGACCAAGCTGTGAAGTACAGTGTCTCGCCTCGCGTATCGCGCGCATCACATGGTATAGGCTCCAGCGGAAGCTGGGGGACCGTGAACATCGCTGATCCACTCCACAAAGCACGCTCATATTGGGAATGCAGGCGACCATAACCTCAAGGTTTGCATCTCTCCAGTTCATGAAGCCCCCACGATTGGATGGAGCGAAGCTGAGTCAGTTGCAATCGCCCTCAAGCGCCCGTCGACAAGTGTCCCGCCCACCCTCATAAACTAATATGTGTGGACGCTGTTATGTCAAAGCGAGTTACCAAACGAAATTAACGACTTCTGCGTTCCAACACGTCTTATCAGCTCTTATCAGCTGCATCACTCTCAATCACCATCAACAATGCCTTCGTCCCACCTCTCATGAAACTTGTAAGTGTGGACGCTCTAGTACCAATATGAACGACAAAACGAAATTTACGAAGCTTTCTGGCCCCCCTTATCGGCTCTTACCAATCCTTATCAGTTTATATCACTCAGGCTTAGCCGATTATGTATAGCAGATGCATTGCTATTAACTGTGTTGTAAGAGATGTACATGCATTCTCGCATACATTTGAATATTTGGTGAAATTTGCACTTAGCAATCCGCACAAAAAAAAAACAATCAAACCGATTCACTTGTGGCTCTCCGGCCCTCCGTCCCTGGCTTTACTTCGCAACTGTGACAGTACTGCTGGGCTGTAGTTTATGTCAACTTGATCCTCCTTTTCACAAAAAATTGGCGCCTGATTTCCGTGTTTTGCCTGTGTAATGTGTTTCCTAAGTGCCATTACCAGAAAATAAGTGGGAGTATGATTAAGAATTGGATGAATTGAGAACACGGACCCGAGGCGTTCAAACTGTTCAAAATTAGTTGATTCTCGAGGGTAGTGCAGCCGTACGAAGCAGGCGCAAACTATGATATACGGAAAAGCTTTTGAAGTAAGTGGAGAGTCGAGGAGATAGATAGAGGAGATAAAATGCGGGGTGGCGCGGCACCCTGATGAATCGGATACCCCAGGAGGCCCGTCGCGCGGCAAGAAGGCAAAGTCAGCGGACGAGTCGCGCGCGTACTATAGGGATTTCGCGTCAAGTTAAATAGAGTGTCCCACTGCACGTCCTACATCGCACACCACGCGCTGCAACTCGTCCGCCGACTCTGCCTTCTTGCCGCGCGACGGGCCTCCTGGGAGGTACCATAATGGAGTTTCATTCTGAAAAAAATGCTCAGATTCGTTAAGGAAAGGACTAGCGAGAATGGAGAGCACTGTGCATGTGGGCGCTGAGCAATCCTCAAATAAGCAAATATAGGGCAAAAAGCAAAAAAAAAACCCTGGAAAAAGCCGCCGTTTTTAGAAAGGTCGAACGTGGTACGATGAGAGGCACAGTGGTGCGAGGACAGGGAAAACGCAAGAGGGTGGATACGCCACTTGTACTGCAGATGACAAGTATGGCAGTGGTCGCAGCGGTCAAGCGTGGGCACTAGCTCCCATGTTGCGGACCTTCAAGTCGTGACAGTGGAAATCTTCATGAGAGCGAAGCAAGTTCGGCCATCGAAGGGCGGTGTGGTCGCTAAGGTCATCTTTCACTGCAATGGCGTGTCAGTCCGCCCCCTTAGGGGATCCGCCTGTCTCCCTACTAGGCAATTTTCCCCTTGTTCGACTTAATTCCTATCGTGTAATCTTCCTTCAGTTTAGTTCTTCTTGACAATGGCGACTTTTGCTGCCACTGAGTTTGGAGAGAGCTACTATGTACACTTTGCTTGTAGTAATTCGAATAGCCTCTAGAAATGTACTCATGTTTTTTCTTGGACAGCATCAACTTACAAAATCCCCTTCGAAAATTCATACGAACCACGCAAATTCCTCCCGTGTGTACGATCCGAAGTCCTCGTAGACATTGTAGGAGACCTCAACCGGACCATTGGTCATGATTTCTTTCTGGATATCTGTCACCTTCTTCGACACAATGTACGCGGTGGCTCCTGAATGCTGATCTCTTATCACTCGCGACGTGCGCTAAGCAGCACCTGGGTCGTGCTTAGCGACCCACTGATCGTAATGACGCACGTAGTATCATCAATCCTCTGATCACGCCCGGGTGCCGTCGGTGCGGTGAATAGCTGATAACACCACCAAATGTGTGTCCTCGTTTGTAAGCTACGAGTAGCACCTGCAAGTCTGTGCTCGCACGCGTCGGGGCTCACGTGAGGTGGACAGGCGCTAACGTTGACCATACTATGTAGTGCGTGGAAACGAAGCGTCAACTCACGTGCAGTGGTCGCTTTTGCGCGATGCCCACATAGGTGGGAAAGGATAGCTTGCAGCCCAGCCTGAAAAAGAGAGCTTTATTCGAATCCACGCTCAATCGTGAACAGCTTTTACTGTGAAGTTGTCTCAAGTGACATACGCTGTGCTTCACCGAATTCCCACGCCGGATAGGGGTAAACTCCTCGTACCTAAAATGGTAGATCAACATTCTGAATGTGAAGAGCTGAAGCACTTATTTCACTTACTGCTCACCCATCACCGCAGATCAGTCCACAGCAAGATAGATCGTCGTCTGCCGAAATTGGAAACTGTTCCTTTCCATTAGATGCGATGCAAATACGATCTGTCACCGCTTCGGCTGCAAACGCCGCAGCATGATCCTATAATGGGAGATTTTGAAAAGCAGCAACTTCAATGAGGTTATTCATTACTTCATTACGATCTAAACGCGTGTGCAGTGCAGGATTTAAAACAACATTAAAATTGAAAATAAACAAAAATTAAGGCAAAAAAACAGCGACACCTATTTTTGGCGCGATAAAGAAATTAGACGGGCATAATTAGCATGAAACGTGTCATTCATTGTGTCCATACCCGCATTAATCATGGAGAACGTGCCAAGCGTTGAACGTGGTGATGCGAAACGAAACCTAATTCTACGCTTCTTGATTAAGGTGGCACTGAGCTTATGAAAGGCAATACTGTCGAAACGACTGACCTATGGACGAATATTATCTACGCCAAGAAAAGTCTCTCGTATCGAAATCGAGAATTGATGACTTATCAATCACGCAGTATTTTTTGCGTACTCAGATCCTATAAACGTCTGGTCTATCCTAAGTCTGAACTACGCTTTGTTTGAAAGAAATTAATTCATCGCCATGTTTAGCATGCACTGCAAAGCCTTTTCAGAAAGCGTCGAAGAACTTCAACGATGCTGAACTTTGCAACGTCTTCCTGCTCATCATATATTTATTGAGATTTTGTTAACTTCGAAACGAGAGCTGGTATATACGAAGACAGGTGAAGCTTGTGAGCCCAGCAGTCGCATAAACAAGGGCCCTTTATAATGTTCGCATTTAAGGTTGGACAAGCGGCAAGAGCGCCATCAGGGTGTATTTTTCAGAAATTGGGTGACGTAGCCCGAAAGAGACGGGTAATTACGAAATCACGAGAAAGAAGTGCTGCTCTGAGACAACCCTCAAAAAATTAAAATGTTTTGCAGCGTTATGGACTATATCACGGTAAAAAAAAAGGCGGTGTGGACAAAAAGTAAACATTCTATGGTTGAAGGACAAAAACAAAACGTTTTGTAAAAACTGGTGTATGGCCTATTCATACTATTGCACAAGGAAGGCTACATATGAGGGTAAAAGTTTGCAATGGTGCTTAAGAATGTTCATTTCTTCAGACATAAAAGAAATAAGCAGAGTGGCACTTACCACATGACGATTGGTCGCGAATCGTGGAGGATGGACGGAGCACTGAGCAGTGGGTGTCTGGCGCTCTCGAACGAAGCGGGATAGTAGGGCGTCTCGATTTGGTGCATGGGTCTTTCGTTCAGCCTGCAACAAAAAACTTTCCCTGCAGCTGAATTGGTTTTGCTAGTGAGTAGTCACTCTAATTCACGTGAACGGATGACGTACTTCGATTCATGAGACTATTTGAGGGATCGTGGAACTGGCTGTGCGACGGGTGCTGACAAGTGGCTAGAGCGATAAGTTCACTGCACGGCGAAGTAGTTTTTTTACGTGTTGGCATATTAGATAAGATGACACTGCCACAAACGTTTATCGTGAACATATCCCGCTGTTGTGACGTTTGTCGACAGTGTGAGCCCAGTTAGTGCGCACTTCACGATGAATTTTTTTAATACGCGAAAATAACTCTAAAGAAGCCGACAGGCCGCACCTAGGGAATATCGTTTGATTGAAGATCTAGCGATGAGATGTAAGATCGCCGCGTACCAACATGGGTGTGGCAGAATATGGCTACAAAAGGTGCTAAGCGGAGTGTTGCCAACCTATTGCCACGGAGATCGCCATGGACGTGATAGAGCAAGTTCGTGTTCCTCATATACACGATTCTCTCGCTCACAATTCTTTCTCTTGTCGATTGTCTCCACCTCCTATTTGTGGCACTTTTCACGGAACCCGGCACAAGGCCAGAGGAACGAGGCCTCTATTTTAATGGTTCTCGCGGGATCTATCTGTCTTCTTTCTGCGCTAAGAGCTCAGTATCGACCTTTTTCGGGCATAGCTCGCAGTCGAGCGAAATATGAGATACAAATAATTCAAAGCCTTCAACGAGTAGACACGACTGGAAGTGCAGTTACGCCGTATCCTGACTTATTACTTAGGTCGAGCAGATTTACTTCGTTCCTATTTTCTTGCTCATCGAAAATTATTATATAAAGTTCACAGAAGAATCACGACAGGTCACAATGACTTTGCCGAGGGTAGAACGTACGGCTGTCCTACGTGCCCACTGGACCATGCACACAGTTAGATACACGGGTCGCGAGCAGATCTCAAAATTCGCTCAGAGTGAGTTAGGAGCACGGACCTAAGACGGGGCTGCAGCACTTCGCCAAGTGGTTTGCGTGTCAATTCAGTGCTGCCGTAAAGAGTGATCATCGAAGCGTGTCTTTGCCGCGATCACTTACGGCGCTGCCATTCCCTACTGACTGCATACGTGGGGGTGTTGACCTTCTGGTACGATTACTTTCACACATTTTCTCTATTGGGGGCGAACGCTCCATGTCTTTTCATCGCAATAACGGGACCTTGGAAGGCGGAATGGAGCCATGCAGTATCATTTCATGTTTTTCTTCGTGTTTTGCCTTCGGTCCTCCTCGCCCCTCCTGCTTTTTTCAGTGAAATAACACACCGAGCAGTATCGCGATGCATTTGCTAAAAAAATCACTCGTGACAGGTGGAAGGAAATGCACTGAGACAGCTGCGAAGATCAACGCAAAAGGACAAGTTGGTAGCGAATTTCTGGAAAACCATCATTTACGCTAACCTTCAGATGTAGGAGCAAAATCATAAGTCATACCATGATCTCCGTGCTCACAACGAGCATAAACGCACGGAACCTTTTTATTACCATCGAAAATGTAATTCTCTGAAGGATAATACGAAGACGCCGATAAATCATCCAGCTTCCGTTGGCATCATTCCTGAAAACGGTTTTGACCGCTTAATTTCAGGTGCCTTTGGCAACGTTTTGATGATGTTATATGCAGTAATGGACCTTGACCATTTTTCGCTGAGCAATCGGCCTTTTTTGAAAGTGTGTCAAAGTTGAATATCAATTCTGTGTGTCTGCAATAGATATACTTAGGCATTGTGGTAGAGGTGATCAAAGTACTAAGTGGGGGGGTGGTAACCTGCTCGAGAAGCTCTTCGAGGATTCTAGTATCTGCAATCAGAGGTGAGAGAGTTGGTATGCCTAAGCAGAAAGGGACTAGTTATCACGTTATAATATTAACACGTTAGCGAGCAGCCCCAACGCGCGTTTAGGCTTCTTTGACGTGGGACCGGCGCGATTTTGCGAGCGCCGCCGCCTCAGGTCCATCAGGCGATTTTGCATGGTAAATGAATAAAACATGATTGATACAAAGTTAGATTAGTCTCTTTCAGTGCGTAGAAGCGCCCCAGAGATATAGTAGTGAAAATTTGGTTGAAAGTCGGATGAAATGATAGTGAAAAAGCAAAATTTGTCAGAATCAGCTGCAATGAACGTCAAAAGCAATTTTGCACCGATTATTGCAATCCAAACACATATCTTGTCATACTTGAGGTTCCGTATTGACTTACACTACCCTTTAAATATTCACATTCATGAAAAGAAAATGTAAACAAAAAATCAACTGGGTTGACGATTTCGTTCGGTTCAGAAAACCTCCCCTAATTTGAAGCACACGTGACCACTCTAAGAGCTACTATGTTTCTATCTATGTTAAGGTTTTCTCTATGGAATGAATACAAGAAGCCTAAAAATGAATCACGTGTGCGAGAAAAAAATGAATGCATTGGGTGCAGGACACATACGTCCCGCGTTGTCCGTTGTGGTCTGCAAAAGTGCGGGACGTATGTGTCCTGCGCTGTCGTCAACGTGTTAATAGGAGGTTTGGTGGGTTCGTTTGTTTGTGAGTGTCATGTTGGACCTGTTTTTTCGTCGCAAAATGTGACTAGAGAGGCGAAATTATATCGTGACGTTTATGATACCTTGTCTCCTACCAGTGTAGAAAGAGCAACATTCAGTAGGATCGAATTCATTTCGGGGGTTTGGCTGTAAAGCAAGAGCTAAGGATTAGGCCTGTGGGCAGTCACCGCGCGACGTCATACACGCGGCTTGCCGCGTACGGGAAACCACGCGACAAATTCGAGCGAGGTTTAGGCATTTACTGCTTCCCGCGCCTGTGTATTCGTCAGTTACTTTCCTTTGTTTCCTTTTACTTTCGTTTTAATTTTTCTCCCAATCCTTCTCGATTTTTTCTTTTCATTAAATTTGACTCAAGCGTTCGCGTTGACACTAGAGCGTTCATACTTACAAGTGTTATGTGAGGTGGTACCGGGACACTGTGGTGAAATAGGATGATAGAAACTAATAAGGGCTGTCAGGGCGCCTTGAACTCACAAGTCCCCATTCCGTTGAGCAGCTGACATTGACACTTGAGCGTTCATAATTACAAGTGTTATATGGGGTACCTGGACATTGTAGGTGGGCGACAAAAATGATAGCAACTGATAGGGGCTGATAAGGAGTCTTAGAAGGCAGAAGTCGGCAATTCCATTGCGCAGTTCACGTTGGCACTATGGGGCTCTTTTCATAAGTGTTATTAGGGGTGGGTCGTGGACATTCTATCGATATAATCAGCTTGGCTTGAGCAGACTTTTGGCGAATGGTACATTCCATTCTTTTGATCTAATGCCAAGACGACCAGAACTCATTTAATGACCGCCAAGCTTAATTGAAGATCACTGTATAAAGGCTCAGCATGCCACTCATGATATGTGCGCAATTCAATTGTGAGGCTAACACCATAATCCTATTCACCGCTAAATTATCAAAATTCAGGAGAATGCCGAGTGTTTACAGAGCTATGTGTGATAAATATACCTGGAGTGCCTGCGGAATCTTAGGTCGTATGATACGCGCGATACCGGGCGGAGCAAAGCTGATATCAGAATAACTGTGAAGAAGGTGTAATGATGCAAGAAGGTAATCTAGTGAAAGACTCTCTAATCGTAGTGACGTCAGTGTAATTTTTCTGGTATGTTAGTGATTTGATGATTTCCGTTGTGGCAAGAAAAGTTCGAACCCGCCTTTCCGCTCCAAAAAACTACATAGGAATCAAGAATGAAGAATCTCTAGGGTACATTACTGAAAAAATGGAAACAACCAACACCAGCAAGGATGATCATATCTAAGGAACGAGGGGCCTCCCCGCCGGCAGGGTCAACCCTGCGTTGCGCAAATTCCCAAATTTTTACGACCCCCTTCCTTTTCGGGGGGTATCGGTACGACCCCCCATATTAACTATCATGTCTTTCACATAATTTAATGCTCATCAATGCTCATCAATGATGGCAGTCACCAACATGGAGAAGTGGTGGACCGTGGTCAATCCGCGCGCTTTGTCTCGCTCAGAGGAGGAAATCGAGGCAAATGAAGTTTTATTCATTAAATAGAAGGAATTTTCAAATTTTTGCGTAAACCAATACATCATTTTAAAGATTTCTACTTTCAGAAACCCACCAGGATTTCGATCTCTCAACTTTCCTTACCTTATAATCTGAAAAACTAAACCTTGTAGCAATTACATTGCAATCCAAACCCCTCCATTCAGAAGGTTATATTTTCTTTCAGAAGCTGTTTCATGAAATCGGACACCAAAATTTTGAAAATATAAATAGTTTTCTTCCTGAGGAGTATTTGAAATGTTGTGGATGTTCAATATTTCAAAAATCGTCCCGTTGTTCCGTTTTCTGTGCACACGCGAGTTTTTGACATTCAAACATTCATAACTTTCTTCATAATCAACTTTTTGCAAATGTCTAAGGCTAATTAGAAACTAGAAGATTAGAGCTTTCGAACAAGCACCTGAAAATTTTCCAGCGATCATTTTTTCAAAAAATAGTCCCGTTGTTCCGTTCTTGGGTGGTTTGGGGTCCGATTTTTGAGAAGGCGCGAGTTTTCGACATTCAAACGTTAATAACTTTCTTCATACTCAACATTTTGCAGATGTCTAAGGCTAATTAGAAACTAGAGGATTAGAGCTTTCGAATAAGTGCTAAAACTTCTTGAAATAATCACTCGCTCAAAAAATAGTCCCGTTGTTCCGTCAATTCCACCTTGATTTTTTTCAAGCCATTTTCCTGGACCGCGACTATGCAGTCTTCAAAGGCCCATAACTTCCTTTAAAAATTAATGTGATGAGAAGCGGTAAAGATTGTTGGAATCCACTCGAAGAGTACTTCATAACAACTGTGAAATTTCCTGAAATTCTTTCTTCTGCCTCAATTTTCCTACGGCGTCTAGAACTCAAAAAAAAGAACTCATTCAGCAAATTCGCTACACTTTGTTTCGCTTAGATTTTATTTGAAAGCATCAAAACTCTCTTCAGAAAGTTTGTCTGCTTACGGCCGCTGACAGAGGAGGCGTTTTTATGGAAAACGCCTGCTCGGGTATACGCCGTGCACCTATCTGTGGGCAGAATTCGCACTCGCATTTTGAAGTCTTCTGTTTTCCTG